TGAAGACAGAAAACGTCCGGGAGCCTGTAGCTTTATTTTTGAGCGACACTGTTTGACTAACGCCACCACTGAGGAGCCCAAAGACGATGAGACAAAGCTTTGTTGTAGGATTGAGCTGTCATGTGGTAAGTGTACATCTGTTTCCTGCCATGTCTTGAAAAAAGTATTCAAACTGCCGAAACCTTTCCACAATTTCTGCTAAATCCACCAACTTCAACATATGTTTTGGGAATTTCATTTGATAGGCAACACAAAGTATTGGATAATACTTTGAATGGAAGGGAAATCGTGAATTACTTTCTATTTCTTTATAAATAAAAAGGCTAAGAGACTTGTGTGTTTATATTCAGCCCCTGTGAGTAATCCTTTATACATTTTCCATTGGCTGTTCTTACAGCAGCACTTATGGGGTATGTCTCTACCAGCCTTGTACATCTATAGATTGAAATTTTTGCTCTCTCTGTGCTGCTGATAGCTCAAGTTCAGTCAGGTTGAATAGGGGGCATTTGGATTATTGATTTTTAAGTCTTGTCACAGATTCCCAGTAGGATTTAAGTGCAGACCATTTTAACACAACAATGCTTTGACCTAAACCCATGGTTCTCATAATGTACCACTGTATTGCATTCAGTGGTACTCACAACAAATGTTGGCGCTAAATATTTAATCACACATGAAGCGAATTCAAATCTGGAATTCTTATTTTAGTATTTGCTTTAAACAAAACTATTAAAAACTAAGAAGGATGACAATGAACCAGAAAAAAAGTACTGGTGTCTGGTTTTGCTGTATTGCATTTACCTTGGAAGTTGAAAACTGTTCCGACAAAAAAAAAGGTTAGCAGTTAGACAAAAGCAATACATTCCTCTGTATGCACTCAATTTAAACAACATAACACATTTACTAACATAGGCTGAACAGTGTTCTCACTTGCTAGTGAATTAATGAGACACAAAGACACAGGGGACAAGCAAACACACTTGATCAATGCAGCTTACAGTCATCCCAGATTAGTGGAAGCCATGGCAGATTTGAAGGACTAAGTTGGTGAGAAATGCATTTTTAAAGTTTGAAGGATTTAAAACAATGATTTTTTTTTTGTTCTTTCATAGTGAAACATAAATAGAGTTAAGGTGCTGTTCTAAAACTTTTTGATACAAAGACATAAGAAAAAGCACTACACTTACTATTTTGGTAGGACTACAGTGTTAAGTAAGTTCCTAACTCACCGTTCTAAACCATTCTTCTGTAGTTCAGACTGTATGTTAATGGTTACTGTACAGCTGGAAGGTTAACCTCTAACCTTATTCTGAAGTCTTTTTATTTTGTCTTTTGCTTCAGACCTATACTTAGCTCTATCAATATCATAACTAACTCTGTAAAGTCCTCGGTTAATTGCCTACAAAAAAGAAATCCCCCAGCATGATGCTGCCATCATCCATTTAAAGTTCAATTTTAGTCTCATTTGACAAAGGCATCTTCTTCCATGTGTTTATTATTCTCTCACATGGCTGGTGGACATATTTCTTTCAAAATTAGCTTTATTTGTCACTGTTCTTTGAAGTCCAACTTTATGGAGCACATTAGGTCCACTAAAATAAAAAAAAAATAAAAAAAAAAGACAAAAGGCTTTGAATCACAGCTTCCTATTAGAGGTTTCTCGTGTTAATGTGCTCCTTTCACTGCCCGTCACTCAAGGTTGACGACATGGTCTTTCCAGGTGTGCTGCTGTGCTATGCTTAATTAATTTTCAGGTGATGGATTGAACAATGCTCTTTAAAGTCGTAGGGAAGTCATATTTAAATGTCAAATAATTATGGCTTAAACATGTATATAAATGTACTCTTTATCAGACTATATTGTGGCAAAATTTAGAAAAATTCTTTTTAACAAAATAAAACCTGTTTTAATATCTGTGTTGTTGTTTTTTTTCGTTATCTTATGCAGGCCAGTTAGTTAAACGTCAGCCTGTACATCTGAATTACCGTTGAGTTCCGTCCCAGTGTTCATGGGAATGGACGTCTCTGTCTTCGGCAGGCGTAGAGCTAACAGAACTGGCAGCGTTGTGAGGCAAGGGCTCAAACATATACGGCTGTAAGCCTTCTACAAAAAACTAAGCTTCCACCACCCTGGCATCCTCTTCTACAGCATCTTTGTCTCCGCTTTCCTGCTCTAAATAAAAAATATATGACGGAGTAGACTCATTCACGACCTCCGACACAAAACTGTCCTCTTCTTATATGTTTCCTCTGTACATAGCGTTCCTTGACAGTGTCGCTGCTTAGTGCTCCTTGGTCCCAATGTAATTTCGCATTGGGTACCTACTAGCACTAAGTTGCTAATTGGTTATCAAGATGCTTTCGTCAAACCGGTCACAACCAAATTTGGTTGCGAACTTTCCGCCAAAACAATCCGGCCATCTTAATAAACGACCAATTACATCCACTTTATTCAGTCGCACAAAGTTGGGCACCACTCGGGAGAATACGGAAATACAACAGTTGGAACAGTCGTTTCCCTACTACTTTAAGATTTTCATAATTTTGGGTTGATTTTTTATTTAACTAAACTGATCTCACACTGAAGAAATGTATCTCTGCATTTAACCCATCCCCTTGGAGAGCAGTGGGCTGCCATTGTGCCATTGGGCCTGTTAAGCATCTCACTGCCTGTCCAAATAGCTGGATTAAAACTGTTACACATAACTGAATACATTAAGCTAATGGTTGCAATGGATTTTATTTTGGAATACCAAAGTAGAGGGAGCAACCACAACCATGTTCATTCTTTGGGTTGGTCAGTCATAGTATCTCACTAATAAAACTTAGAGATTTTACAATGTAGTAAAATATGCTTCAATTCCCAAGTTATTCTACTTCATAGAATTTTTTCAGTCTGTCCAACAGAGAAATCAGCTTTAACTTTCTCTAATTGGTGTGGACTCATCTGTTCTCATGATAGCAGTGAAAAAAAAGAATAATTAGGAGGATTATTACAGATCTTTGTCACTACTGACTCTCACAGAAATGCTATCAGCGTCCCCAGCGCTTTGAACAAGAGAGGCAAGCTGTAAATTCGTCCCTTCATTCTGCCTGCGGGCAACATGCTGCCCATTAAGTTGGCACCTTTTATGAGTTACATGCCCCACTGACACAGTATTAATAAATAATGAGAATGCAGATGGCAAAAAGAGAACCAAGTAAAGGAATAAATAAATAAAAATGGATGATGAATGCTGGTGATAATGAAATCACAATGCAGAGGATGCAGTGCTGTTAGGAAACGAGAAATATCCCGAGCAGAGCCAGAGGACACATCGAGTCGGATGGATCTGCATCAGTGAGGGGAAAAGCTACGTGGAGAGACAACATACAGGATCAGAGTCGCACTGTGGAAAATAGTGCGACTCTTATGAAGCATCAGATGTATGAGCAGCTTGTCAGAGTTAAGTTTTTGTGTGTGTTCACGAGGAATGAGTGATCAGCACTTAGAAAGCATGTGTGATAGATGTTAATAATATAACAAATAAGTCTATAAATATAGCTTTATATGTCTGGTGCCAAGGATGAATATAAAAGAAATACAATGAAGTATATAACATCCACTGATGCACATTTCTGAGTCAGAAACTGCCTATTTCTTTTATGAAATTTCATTTGAGAACAATCAAAAATAAAAATGATTGACAGTTAGTTTTCTCATTCTGTGCTGCTTCATATCCAAACCAAAGCTCTGCATTTCTTATTTGGCTCCCTTTTGGTTTCTTTGTCTTTCTAAATCCTTTGAGACCGAGGCTGCTGCCGAAATGAACAACTCACTCAAAGATGGATGAGGGAACTTCTCAGAGGACCCCAATTCTCTGCAAACGATTAAAGTTTAAAAAGAATAGGGAAAAATGGGTTCTTTGAAAAATACTTGAAAGGATTAAAGGGGCTGCTTTAAAGCAAATACCAGGTGGAATCACACGTTCCACCCGCCCACCTATGCATACACCAGGAAAGCTCTGCTTGGAAGGCACAGAACGTTTATCGAGGATTCAAGTCAATTAGCCGGCTTCTGTTATGGCTGCTGTGCAAATAAGATTTTTAAGCAGCCGTGGGATTTTTACAGTCTGGACTTACTGATGGGAAGGAGAAGAGAGACCTCTGTTGTTGTATATAAAAGTAAGACCAATATTTATTTGCATAATTAAAAAAAAAATACAACTTTTTGCTCCTTGTCTAACACTAAATTAGCCTAACCTCTTGTGTTTTACATCAGTTAGGACTATAAAAGTTTGTTAAAAGCTAAAATAATAAGAGAAAAACATATTCTTCATTGTCCACAGCCATTTCCTACCTAGAAAGTTTGACTTTGGTGAAACATTTTGAGGTATCTTTCCATAGACCTCTGACAATTCTAGACACTTCCTCCTGTTGTACCCGAGCAGTGTGTCCTTATCACACCTTGTTATATCAAAATGTAGAGTTTGCCTCCCAAAATCTACTTTATAACCAGTGTGGTGGCATGCTCAGGATCTTGAGATGTTGCTTCAATATACTGAAATTAATTTCATTCCTCATTATTGGGAAATTACCCAGATCAATTTCCTCCGAATTTGGCTTTTAATATTTTCAGATCGTTGGTTTCTTTCTCTCTGAGCGGCCTTGCAGCTGATGTTGGTACAGGGCTTGTTTCACTGTGGATAATGAATCTCTTACCAGCTTCTTTCCAGGTCTTATACTTTTTATGAGGGGCTGATATGTATATAAGTAGGTTAAAGTGACACACTAAGTAACTGGAGCATGGCTAAACAGAACTGCAATTAAGAACTGTCTTAGCAAATCTTAGAAAGCAACTGAGGAAAAGATATTAATGGATATATAAGAGTTTGGGTGAAGAAAATGCATAAGAAGAAATCACTACACTACAGCAGGACCTACATATATAATTTTATACAGCATAAATGGGCATGTTGACCTTGCAGGAGATTTGCATTTTGCATTGTGTTTGTCACTTACATCATCATCAAAAAGCTCCATGATGAAGGTGGCAATGCTGCCATTGATCCCAATAAAGAGGTTGATGCAAGTCAATGCCACATACGCTGTACTGGGCACACTGAAGATGAAGGAGGCAGGGTACATCATGGGTGTGATGGCCCACCTGAACACAGCAAAACAGATAGTTAGAAAGATGCCCGAAAACAAATGGTGTGTAAACTTTAAAAAAAGTGTCCAAGTTTACATTTCTGAAAGGTTATCCCCACATTGGCCCACGCTCATAGAAATAACCACCAGGGTTAATGGTTGTGGCAAATTTAAAATTAGCAGTTATTGAATACATGCAATTTTCAATTCATGAATGTAGATTACCAGGTCAGCTGTGCCGGTCCATGACACCAGCAGCCTCCACAGGATCATTAGCATTTTAAGTAAGTGACCCATAAAAGCGCGGTAAAATAGATGCCGCCCACACTTGGCAGCCAGCAGATCAAGTTGAGTTATAAAAGGAGACAAAGTGTAGCTGTTTTGAAGTCGAGTGGATTATCCAGTAGAGCTGGCAGACACTTTGCAAAATCAATTACTCTTCTTGCAACTAATGCTAAATATCTCCAAGATGATATATTTACATGAACTACTTTTTACCAGAATACATTTGCTTCACAGATGTTTTCTGCAGAGTTTTTCCTCCAAAAACATTTATGCATCTGTTCAAATGGTTTACTATGATGTGCACTAAAATATATGCACGACAATTATTATAATAGGAAATAATTAGTCACAGAGAAAAAAAACTGAACTAAAATGTTTCCGTTAATGGCCTGGGCATGAACTTTAGAGCTTCATTGAAGAGTAACATTTGATATTTGTTCAAATAATTTACTTACAGACTTTCTAAAGGTCAGCACTAAATTCTTGTTTCTTTTTTTCTTTTTGCCTTTCTGTGTGTTTTTGTATGCATGTATGTGTGCTATGACTATAAAACATGGAGGAACATGCTGGGTGGTATTTATGTAACATCTAAATGACTTATTGATTATCACTGGCTGTGGAGCTCTGATCATACCGTCAAAACAACAAACTCGTCGAAAAGCAGCAAAATAGCTTTACAATATTGCAGCAGCATGATCTCACGTTATTTACATTTTTCTTAATCCAACCTTAATTTCAGAACATTATTCTATTTTTATTTTTCTACTAAAATAGCTTGTTCCTCTCTTAGCCTTCCTGAATGGTTAACTGGCTAATTTCTATAGTTCCTTTCATGTCATAGTGAGGCATAAAAGAGCTTTTTACTCTAGCTTCACATTCACAAAGCAGCTCTCACAGCACTGATCAGTAGGACGTGGGCTCAAGTGTCTCCTGAACGGTTCAACATTTAAAAGAGGAACCTAGAATCCAACTCAAAACGTAGAAATTATGACTTCTTCATGGCTTGACTTTTGTAGTCGAGAAACCAAAAATCAATTATTTATTTTCATATGATGAGAAAAAAAAGGACTCCTAAAAATGGGAAAGACAACAGGCATGCCATTAAAATAAAACAAATGTGTGTAGATATTTATAACAAAGTAAAATTAACTGGTTCATCTAAACTGGCCAATTTTTAAAGTCTGGACAATGATAATAAACAGAAAACTGCAAAGAGGGCATTTAAAATCCTAAATAAGCAAGACAACAAGCACTATGAAAAAGGTAGCCAAGGGGGGAAAAAAAATCTTCAAATAAAAAAAAAAAAGAGGAAAAGAGAGCATGACCCACTATCTACATCCGGGCTGCAGTTTCTAGACCCCGATTAAAAGATGATAATGTTTACAATACCCTACCGGTGCCTTAAAGTGAAGCTTAATGAGCATTAATGAAGCAGTTACATACCAAACCAGGTGATATAAACATCTCCTTGATATGACCCTTGTCTTTCATCACTTACAAATCAAGCTGGTGATTTCCTGCTGACCTGGCAGCTCTTAAAAATCAAGCTGGTCGATGTGGAACCAAAACAAGTAAAATGATGGTGAAAAGCTATCTTAGTTTGCAATGCATTTAGAGCCTGATTTTGAAGATTCATAATAATAGAAGGCTCTAAATTTCACATCCATTTTTTTCTTTTTATGTTTAATAAGTGGGCATTTTACAGGTGATCTACAAAGATTGCTGCGCAAGTGTTAAGACATGCAAAAGGATTTGGTTCACCCCATAAAATGAGCAGATTGCATGTTCTACCGGCAGTTTGAAAGTGGCCATAAAACACAGATGAGGTCTAAAGCCATAGAAATGATGGCAATAATGATAACTATTAAAATTAATAACAATGAATAACATTATAGTGCACCTTGTACTATGAACAAAGGAAATAAAAAAACAAAAACACAACCATGCTTTATGTTTTGATTACGATTGTTTTAATAAATAGAGAGACAGAGAGAAAATTCTCATTTCAAAGAGATGCAGGCTCCCCCCCATGTCTTTGTTCTGATTCTTTTTTTTATAAACCTGTGTAATCAGGATAATTTGTTTTGATTTTTATTATTTATTTATTTATTATTTAAAAATAAAATCCTATTCTTAAGTATTTTACCACAAAAAAAGCCATGTATGGTCAAATGACCAGCTGCATGTCAGCATTCTAAATTGACAGCTGTAGCTTATATGGCTGATGAGTAGCAGCCCAGGTAAGAGACGCTGTCTGACGCTGATGCTGGTAGGCTTCTGACTCTTGCAAGTGTCTACAATACCGTCTTCCACTCATATGCCGCTCAAATTTTAGATAAATTGTTGTGGATTAAAAACCTTCATCAGATAACAAGGTTTGATGGTAAACTGATTTGAATATGTTTACTCACCTGGATTAAGCTTTTAATCTGAAATTATTTTGAATTGTAAAACACTATCATTGCATGCTAAAATGAAATGATTGAGAACTTGCATGAGTTTAATGGTTATAATATAAACTCATTTCACTGTAGTGATATTTTGATTGAAAAAACCACCTGTTTTATACAGACCAGGTTTAACATTTCAGGATTTTGTTCCAGGATCCCATTCCAGAATCCGTCTCCAGGAACCATATAACGCACCAAAGAAAACAGCACTTCCTGTTAACTCCGTCCCAACTAGGAACTGGTTGAATTGCTTGGATAAAAGAAAACACCTTAGAGTTGAGCTTAAGGATTCTCTCTGATTGAATTTGGTAATTTATTCAATCATATAAGTAATATATGTTACACATGCCACAGTATGTAAGTTCAGCGACTGTTTGTTTTAACTGTATAAAGATTGTCTGCCATCCCACTGTATTAATTGGTGGCCACCATACAGTAGATGTTTTTTATTTATTTTTTTTAATCAAGATTATTTTACTATTGTTTTCTGCACATGTGCACAGAATCACTCTCCATCTTCTGGCATTGTACAAAGGCCCGCTTTCTGGCAAATAAGACAACAGATATTTCTAAATATCAGTGTAAGTTTATACTTGACTTTAAATAAGCAATAAAGGTCATAAAGGACACATGAACTGCAAACGCGGTTGAGTTACAGATATGGAAAATCGCTTTGTCCCTGGTAAATATTCACATTTCCATATCTTTGCACCTTCTTTAAAGATCTGCTCTGTGCATACAAACCCATATGCAACTGTTTCAACATACTGTAAGCAAACCTTCCGAAGAACAGGGCCTAGCAGCTTAATTCTATTTTTAAACCTTTTTTAAGACTATGCTTGGCTGAAGTGAAGGAACCCGTTCCGCCTTGTTGGGTTCACTGTGACCTGTGCAGTGTGTGTTTTTTGGAGATGGTTTGTCCAGCAAGTTAACCACACATCTGATGTCTGAGTGCTTTGAGCTAAAATCCTCAGTACTTTTAAAAAACCTAAGGCATTGGCCAAAATATCTTAAAATAGTGTTTGAGCGTATAGCATAATTAGCTCGTAGACATCCTATATGGAAACCTGTTGACAGTTGGTGCACATTTGAAAATAAGTCATTGCTGGGTGCTTTTCAAATGTTATACCTCTAGTAGGCTTCATTTGACAGTATGCTGAAAGGAAATGGTGTTGAGAGACAGGGGGAAGTAAAGGGGAAATGTCCAAAGGCCCAGACAGCTGCGTTAAGGCCTGATGCATTAGAACATGGGTTGTGCACTCTGCTCCTGCGCCACCTCCTTGCCCAACCGCTGGGCCCTTTAATAGAATATTGATCCAGTACATATGTCAAATAAACATAGACACGGTTCACCAGACACAAATCAAACTTCTTTTATGGCATTCTCAGTCTACAAATCAAATTAAAGCTATCTATCTATGTCTGCATCTCTATCTATCCATCCATCCATCCACCTACCCACCCATATATATATATATATATATATATATATATATATATATATATATATATATATATATACAGAGGTGGAAAGAGTACTAAAAAATTGTTTTTTTTGTCTTTATATACCGACAAATCTCTATATCTGTTTTATTTCAGTCATGTTTGATCGTGATCGTTTGATCGTGATCGTTGATTTTTTGGCTTTATTTTACTTACCCATAAAAAACAAGGAGCAGTATCAAGGCAGGAAGGTTTGGAGGTGAGACGTAGGCTTTTTGTTGGAAGCAGAGGAATATCAAGATCACGATGATGCAGGGGACGATGTAGTTACACTGTCAAAAAAAAATCATAAAATAAAAAATAAGCAGCTATTTCAAGCTGAGGCTGAGATGTGTTTATTGTAAAAGGTGGCACCAGTTTGACAATGCTTTCTTATTTAATTTTCCTCCTGTGAATGATAATAAAATCTGTGGATAACTTTTTAATTAACACTTGTGTCTATACAGCTTTAACTTTCTAATTAATTCAGCGAAGAAAAAAATGCCTCTCTTTGAAACTAATGTTCGCTCAGTGACATATTAACTGAACACAATCACTATGATACTGTGCCTTTTTATATGTGTATTTAAAAATTTGAAACTCATAAGAAGATTGTACTTATTTCCTCATAAAAGCATTTCCAGTCTATAGTTAAAAGGTGTCAAACACAGTGATTAATGCATATTTAGGAGATAAGAGAGGTAGACTTGAATATTTAGACCCTAGAATCCCTGTAAAATTTTTGTTGCTCTCTCAAAATGTCCTTGCCAATTTAAATTCAACCCTTCCTTTTTTACATTAGACTACATTAGACACTCCAAAGCAGAGAAACACCAAAACATCCAACATTAACAGATTTAATAGCTATTTTCAAGGGGAGGTAGTGAGAAAAATGAATTAAATAAAACAAATAGGGCTGAAACTAACGATTATTTTGCAAATCGAATAATCTGTTGATAATTTTTTCAGTCAATCAATTATCGGATAGCAAAAGTTTCATTAAAGAAGATTTTTTACAGAATAAAGGAACAGAATATAATAGAATTCAACTCTATTGTCATTACATGTCATTACACATTACATTACAATGTCAACCACGTTAAACTAAAACTTTTCAACTTCAGGAGTTCTGGGTAGAGCATTTTAGCAGACATTTAAAAAAATCTTACATACAAAATATTTTTGTATTTTTTTCACTTTTCTATAATTACTGCTCTAAGTGGGCCAATCTGTCGGCTAAAGGCATGTTTAAGAGTCTCTTATACTCCAGCTAACTGTGAATCGATTAGTAAATGAATTGACGATTGGTTCAATATTCGATTAATCACAAATGATCTAGTTAATTGTTTAAGCCCTAGAAACAGGAAAACAAAACAAACAAATAAGTAAAATATCTGTTACACCCAGATTTCTTAACAGAGAAGAATAAAGTGACAACAGGCTTTGAACAACTTGCAACGATCCAGTCATTTTCTATCAGTCTAATAATGCACCCATATCATGTTTTTTAATGGTTGGTAATAATAGATGAGAAATTAATGTGTTATATCTTTTACCTCTTTCTTTTTTTTCACTTAGATTAATACTAAATCACAGCAATCAGAGACTTCTGCAGAAGACTCTGGAGAGCCTGATAAACTCTTAATACAGTCACTGATTTATCAGTTAATAATTCTACTCTGTGATGCTTCTGATATTATAAATTCACTTCATCGTTTAATCATACATTACATTTATCACTTTTTCAAATAGCTTTTTCTGCTGATCATTAGAAAATTGTAAACATTTTGCACAAAGGTTATATATATTTTAAGCCCAAATAAAGACACTGAAAATTCTTGCTTTTTGCTTTATAACAGAAGTAACTCAATACACAGGTGAATAAGTTATCCTTCTTGTACCCTATTCATGTTAGATGGAGATTTAAATGGTATAGTTGAAAACCTAAAATCTTTGGACTTATCGGTTTGGTATTGGAATACATGGACAATAAAATCCTTAGTCTTGCTCCCTCGATGCATTTGTCTTCCACTTAGACAGCATTTATTCGGTGTGATAATGTCTGCCCTGATGGTATTCTGTTACCAAAAGAGCCTGATGAAATGTTTACTTCCATGATGCCTCAGGGAAAGTACAAGTAAGCCTGTTGAGCATAACCAGCAGGGGCAGCTGCTGTCGATAATTACGCCTCAGCCTATAACAGTGTATCAGGGAAAGCCTTTCTCCCTGTGGCCGGCGCTGTCAGAGCTGCGTTATCAATTACAATTTTTTGCTCATAGCCCTCGGTGGGTATAAAATTTTTAGAACAGCGGCGAGCTAGATTATAAAACAAGAAATAATGGGGCTTTAAAACTTACCTAAATGGATTAAAGATCACATTTCAGGAACATAATGTGCAATATTAGGAGAGATTTAATTCTTTAAGAGCTGCAGCAACACTCACCATATCCCAGACGAAATTGGTAAACCAGTAGACAGCCGGGTTTACCCCGCTGACAAATTGCAGATGCTTGGCTTTGCTCACCCTCTCCTGGATGAGAAAAAGGACAAAGCTGGCAGGGATGAAGGACATGGCGAAAATAACGCAGATCGACACCACCACATCTGTAGAGGTTGTGGCCCTGCGAATAAAGAGGGAACATTTTGAATTCAAAATGGAGCAGAAAGGTAAGTGTAGATCAATAAGTAAACAACAGAATGGTAAATATACAACATAAAGTTATGGTTAAATGTTTAAATGCTCTCATTTTAGACATTAATGTCCACTATTGACCATTTACTGATAATATTAATAGAGTATTTGAACTGTTATGTTCCATGTGAAAAATCATTTTAAAAACTTAGAACTATTTTTAAAGTTTTATTATTTTGTTGATTTCAGTGGTGTGGATTTGTGGCTGTGGGTCGGGTCGTTTAGCTGCCAATCACAACTGCAAACATGAAGAAGCTGTAAACTAATCCCCGATGTATACTCGATCCAACCTTGAACCTTTCTCTCCGTTCTGTCTTGCTCTTCTTATACCTGTCCTGTTTCATCCCAACTTTTCTTTCCTGTCCTGTGGCTTGGTTGCTTGTGCTTTAAGCCACTGCTTCTCTAGCTACAAACAAGAAATATTTTACCAAGCAGATCATATGGATGACATTTTTGTCAGGGTTTGGTAGAAGTTGGTTGAGAACCCAAATGCAGAGATGAGGAGGCAGAGATAAGTTCTTGCAGATTTATTCGATGTGGTAGCAACAGAAAAATTAATCAAATAAACAACAGGAAGGGAAATCCAGAACCAAAACAGGGAGACTCTCAGGAAAACCATACTATATAGGAGGATTATATATGGGAGACAGAACCAAGAATGGTGTGTTCAGTTAATTGGGAGCAGGTGTAGATAGAAGTAGCTAGAAAGGGGGGAAAGGGAAAGGGGAAAAGAAAAGGGCACCGCGGGGCAACAAAGAGTAACCAGGGAAAACAGGGCTTTACTGTAACTATAAAGGAACTTAAATAAGGGTAAAGGGGAATAAAACTAATGACTACAAAATAAAGAATAAGCAAGAGGAAAACTATAGGATAAGAGAAGGAACCGGAGATAACTGAAGCCATGAAAAGCATAACCTGAAGAGAAAGAATAACTAACTAGACCGAAGAATAAATACTAGCAAGAATGCTGAAAAAGACAATAACAAGTAAGAGTAAAACTAAGAATTTGAAAATAATATTAATCCTGTCAATAAATTAAGTATAAGCGAGAACCCAAGGCTACACATTAAAAAAGATGAAATTGCCCAGAGAGCTGTTCCAAACTAACTTTCTTTTTGTTTTACACTTGTGTAAACAAAATGGCAAATAAAATCTGTATAAGTCAAAGATCACTTAAAAGCAGGAAGAAGGAGAAGGGAAGTTCA